CAGCCCTGCCGAGGATTTGCAGGGCATCCTGTCCTAGTGGACAGGACACGTGAAGGAAAAGCAGTAACTACGAAGCTGGTGGTACTCATGCCGAGGTCAGGGACACTGCAGCAGCTGTGGGCTTGGGTTCGAAAGCACGGTTCCCTTGGGATGTTTTGTCTGACATGCTAATTAAACATCCAAGGACTCCTGGGATGTAGGAGCCTAGAGCTCCGGGAAGAGGTGGGCAGGAGAGAGAGCGGTCAAGCTGTAAACAAGCACAAACGTGGTGGAAGAGCCAGAGGGGAAAGAACACCACTCAGCAAGACACAGGAGCAAACCGCTGACAGGAGCCCTGGACCTCAGACGCCGCCTCCTGGGCACAAGAGTCCCGACGCCAAGGCTGCCTGCAGTAGGATTCCATCTGCGGGACGTTCTGGAAAGGAACAGGTCCAGGGAGAGATGCCCCCGTGGTTGCCAGGGGCAGTGTGGGGAGGGGACTCGGGGGCGACGGGCATGTATCTTGACTGCGGCGCTGGTTACCTGACCGCACATGTTTGTCAAAACTTGGAGAGCACTGAAAAAAAGGTAGGTTTTAGTGTATGGAAGTTACTGTATTTTTTCGGACTAGAAGACCCACTCCCCCCCAAATTTGGGAGGAAAAGGGGGGTGTGTTTTATACTCCAATGTAGCTTTACATTTACATTGGTGAAACATTATGTTATTTATGTTATTAAATATTTTATCATACTTTTTGCTTCAAATTTTTTTTCCTATTTTTCTCCTCTAAAACCTAGGTGCGTCTTATGGCCTAAAAAATACAGTACACCTTAATAAAAAATATGAAAGAAAAACAAGCCAAAATAATTGCGTGAGATCATTTACAGAGGGACTGTAGCCACAGAGACATGTACTCAAGGTCTTCACTCTGGGCCACACCACCGTCCAGGTGGTGGTTGCAGTCCTACTGCGTGCTGGGTGTGCCAGCCCACTGGTCGTGCCTAGCCACCTCAGTGAGGCCGTGAGGCGGGTTAAGTGGCTTGTCCTCGTCTTGCAGATGAGAGGGAGCGAGTTGCCCTGGGTCCACACAGACCATAATAGTGACGAAGTGAGGTGATCCGCACTGGCCTGCCCTGTACTCGATTCCCTGTTTGTTGAATGAATAAATGAGCGAACGAACAAATGAATGAACGAACCAATAAATACCGCTATGCTCCAGGTGCTGAGGTTTCACCAACAGGTTCAGGTTGAGGGTATGAGAAGTTGGTATTTTTAGAGAAGCTGAGGCCATAAAACCTGTTCCATTTCCCTCCTTGTGCAACACCCGGCCCCTCCCGCTGAGGCTCTGAAATTGCTCCCCGGCCTTGGGAAGGGCTCCTTGGGCTTATCTCAGGGGAGAGTGAAACTGTAAAAGCCTTTATGGCTTTGAGATCATGTCTGGCAGGGGCAGTGATTGTCGCCATAAACCTGCGTGGGCCCTGCGAGGGCGCTGCCCGGGGGCCGCGGGAGCGGGGGCGGTTGAGCAATGCCAAGGGGCCACCACTGCGGAGCCAGGCGTGCTGGGCCCCAGTCAGGGCCTGGCACAGGTTTATCTCGCCCTCACACGAATCCCCAGAGGCAGCCATGATGGCGATATGCTGAAATTCTATGACAAACTCTTTTTCACAGTTAAGATTTGGCTGAAGTTAAGTCAATGACATCCTATCATCGCTGTAGGTTAGAATGGGTGGTGGCCATGACCCGGTTGGTTCTGGTCACTATTTCCAGTGGCCTCGCTGGACAACTGCATCCTCTGTGTATTTCATCACAAAGGACTTTAGGATCATTGGAGGAAGGGACGCGAGTGCTGGTGGCTTCCCGAAACCTTCTGCTGACACCTTCTGATAAGAGGAAGCAAGCACCAGGGTCAAACCTGCAGGGCGGGCGGAAAGAGTCCCAGAGGCCTCAGGGGAGCAAAGCTCTTCGTGGCGTAGAGAACAACATTGGGCAAAAAGTATGGGACAAGGAAGGCTCCGAGCAGAAAAGGTGGTACAGATCAGCAGAACGCTGACCCTGAGAATCTCTCAGCAGTTCCTGAACTCATTTATTTCACCTTTATATTTAGGTGCAAGAGTGATGTGGGATTTTTAAGACAACATCTTAGGGCTCTATAATAAATCCAAAATAAAAACTCTAAGTGCTAAGAAAGCATTACATCATAATTCAATTGCCAGTGTGTTTTCTTCCTGTATGAGACACAAAATGCTAGTGCCTCACTCTGGCTGGTGTGGCTCAGTGGATTGAGCACGGGCTGCGAACCAAAGGGTACCAGGTTCGATTCCCAGTCAGGGCATATGCCTGGGTTGCAGGCCAGGTCCCCAGTAGGGGGCGTGTGAGAGGCAAACACACACTGAAGTTTCTCTCCCTCTCTTTAAAAAATAAATAAATAAAATCTTTAAAAAGCAAAACGAAACAAAATGCTAGAGCTGGTTACAAGGGGACACTTAGTGAGATTGTACCCATTTCATAGATGAGAAACCTGGGGACGCAGAGGGCGCTGGGGGAACTAAGTGGTGGAGGTGGGGTTCTCTCTGACAGCAGACCCTGTGTTCTTTCTAATACCCAAGGCTGACTTGGATGTAGCCACCCACCCTGTCACCTCCCTCAAAGGTCTCGGGCCACACGACTCCTTAGGAGGCAGCAGGCTGCCTCTGCCCAGCCGTCCATCCTGCCCATCACCCGGGTCAGCGACCCCAGCCTGGCCACGCCCAGCCCAACCCCAGCTGCCACGTGTGCTTCGTGCTCTCCCTGGAACTCTGGCGTCTGCGTCCAGGGCGCCCCCACCTCTGATCACCTGGCCCTGGACCGAGCAGACTGGATTCTCACCTGGTTTTACGGAGGAGGAAACTGGAGCCCAGAGAGGGGGCCTGACCCTCTCAAGGTCACAATTGAGTTGGTGTTCGGGAAGAGTCTGGAATCCGTGGCTCAAGCCCATAGTCACGTGGTAATGCCAAGGTCTCTTCCTGGCTCTCACTGAGACCAGCAAGTTCTGGGATGGAGGTGCTTGGAGGGGTGGCAGAGGCAGCGTCCTGCCCGGAGGATGGAGCCAGACGACACCAGCCATCGTCCCCGTCCTCATCGGATCCTGCCTCATCCTCTAAAAACCCTCCAGTGGCTCCCATCATTCATAGCACTAACCTCAAACGCCCCACCGGGGCCCCACGGCTCCACACAACACGGCTCCTGACCACTCCTCGGAGGTCGTGGCCTCCACTCAGCCTCTGGGCCGCTCCATTCCGGCCCCCTTGGCCTCCTCCCTGATCCTCAGCGCCAAATCTATTCTCGTTTCACAGCCTGTACCCCGATTTCCCTTTTTCTGGAACATTCTTTCCCTAGTGCTTCCCTTCTAACCATTCAGATGTTGGCTCAGATGTTATTTCTTAGAGGGCCCTCCCCTGACCAACTCAGTTAATATGTGAGGCTTCGTAAGGCTAAATGATCTATGTTGCAAATACTTAAATCTGCCATTTTAGCATGAAAGTGGCCATACACAATATGTAAGTGAGTGGGCATGGCTGAGACCAATAAAACTTTATTTACAAAAGCAGGCGACGGGCCAGACTTGGCCAGTGATGGTAGTTTGCTGACGCCGGCTCCAGTGTATTATCTTGTTGGATTTTCCTCATTGTGTTTACAGCTATCTGAAACCATCCATATATTTGTCCATCGATGGATCGTTGTCCTCTGCATTCCCACCCACACCAACACCGTCAACTCTAAGAGCAGGGACATTGCCTGTCTCACTCAATGTTGTGGTGGTGACCAGCTTCCTGGTACCGACACCAGCGTGTAGTTTTCTCCCAAACTGCGTAGGGCCGTCCTGTGTGACCACCAGGCTGTTGCGGAAACGGAAGAGTGTGACTTTCAAGGCTAGGTTACAAAAAGCGCTGTGCGTTCTGCCTTGCCATCTTGCATCCCTCGCTTTGAGGAAACCAGCAGCCACGTGGTAAGGACACTCCAGCGGCCTCGTTAGGGCCACATGGGGAGGGGCCTCCCCTCAACTGCCTGCCCTGGGAATGAGCCGTCTGGGAAGTGGATTCTGCCGAGCCTCCAGGGGACCGTGACCCTGGCCGACTGTGACTTCATGAGGGATCCATCTAATTGAATCTTCCACACAAAAACTGTGGGGTGACAAACGTTTGTTGTTTTAAATCAGGACAGTTTGTTAGGCCACCATAGATAAAATACAGTCGGCCAGAACAGTATCTAGTACATACGAGATAATGATTAACACTGAGTTAGGTGCTCAGTGCATATCACAGAAGGACGCATTATACTCAAAAGGCAATGTAACATTATACGGATATTTGTGAAAATATAAGTTAAAGAATATAGAAGGGCACAGTGGAGTCTCACCTAATCCAGTAACAGGATGAGATGCCTGCATAAGAATTCTTCCAACGCTGAAACCCCAAGCTTCTGGGATGCCCAGTGTCTGCGTTTCTGGCGGTTTTGAAGTTTGTAATTATGTGACCCTGAGGTTTCTCTGTCACCGAGTCCACGATTCTAAAATTCTGTGGTTCTGTGGTTCTAATGTACTGTGACTCACTGGTCACGCATGTTGGCTCAGCAGCACTTCTCTGCCCGGCACAATCCAGGCGCCAGGCGTTCAGTAGAGAAAAGGCAGCCCAGGTTTCTGCTCCCCTGCGGCTGACGGGGACCCAGGCAAGCACAGGGGCCTGTAGGATCCACCGTGAGCTCCGTCACGCTCATAGACCCAGCATCTGGGAGGGTGTGCACGGTGAGTGGGAGGGCAGTGAGCCGAAGTAGCTTCCTAGGGGCGAGAGGAAGAGAGAGTGTTCCAACCGGAGAAGGGGCACGGCTGTACACTGTGTTCCAAGTGGAAGGGACAGCAAGTGCAAAGGGCCAGGGGTTAGGGAGGGGGAGCGAGTGCATGGCAGACCTGGTGAACTAAGACGAGGTCGGTATGAGTTGCTGTAAAGTTGAGCAGGGGGGTGCCAGAGAAAGGCAGAGTGGCACGAGACTATGGCCAGATGACAGTGGACCTCATAAACCAGGTCAAGGGGTTTGAACTTTATCCTGAGGGCAAAGGGGAGCCAGTGAAGGGTTTTAAGGGGAAGAGTGGCCCGCTGTGCTTAAAGTTTAAAAAGATGCCTCTGGCTGCTGAGTGCAGGCTTGGAAGGAGGACAGACCAGGGAGGAGGCTGGAACAAGACCCCAGGTGAGAGCAGAAGAGGGAGATGAATGGAGGGAGATGGGCCCAAGGAGACACTTTGTCCGTGGTGTGGTGAACAGGTGGGGGGTGGGTTATACTGCTAACGTACAGGTCTGTGAGCCCTGGACTCCTGGACGTGATGGTTCTGAGATTCTCTGATTCTGTGTTCAGCACACCACAATTTTTCATACGAAATGCCCATTGATGACCTCTGACCTCACCCATCCCCGAGTCTCTCCTTTCTGAGTCTTGGGTGTCCTTGTTTACAAAATGGGGATCGTTACCTTCCTTGCAGAGCACCTGGCGGGTGAGAGCTGGTGCGAGGTCAGCACCTGCACAGAGCAGGTGGTGCCACCGTAGTGGGCACATCTGCCCCAAGAGCTGGCCACACAGACATGGTCAGGAAGGAGCTGGGAGTCAAGAGGACCCGAGAGAGCAGAGTGGAAGAGCGGAGGCGAGGAAGAGCCCCGTCCTCGTCTCTGTGGCCTCTGGCCCTCCGGCTGCGCATCGGGGAGAAATAGTGCAGTTAAGTAACCTGGGGGCCCAGATGTGCTTGTTTGCTGTCAGTCACAGGGAAATTTACAGATTGACTGTGGGGACCCCCATCTGTAACCCACTGGCCTTTCCAGCTTTCCCTTCTGGTCTTAAACTCCCCGAGGGCTGCAGACACCAGCTGGGGACAGTCAGGAAAGATTTGGCCTTCCCTAGGCAGGTCTGGGCCAGGCCACGTGCCACCCAATTGGTGGGACCCAATGACTCTCAACCCAGCCCCTTCGAGGCCAAGCCATAGGCACCTGTTCTGGTGGCTGAGGGACGAGCAGGTCTTTGGAGTCTGAGACCTCACCGTCCCCCCAGAACCGCCACGTGCAGTCTCCAGAACCACGCCTGACGCTTACAGGTGCACCTGTTACAAAACGTGTTTCTTGCCACTGGTTCAGTTGCAAGAAACTGAATTCAGCTTAATCCACAAAACATCAATGGAACGACACAGCTGGGGGCACCCGGGACCCTGGGTCCCTGATTGGAGGGGGAAACGAGGAGCTGAGTGTGGCGGGTGTAGAACCACACAGTGTTTGGAGAAGGGGTGGGCTTGGAGTCCAAGGCCAGAGTTCTTGGCCCATTTCTTTGCGCACAGTAGGCGCTACACAAACATCACACACATTAAGTTAGGTTAGTAATGACACCTGTCATGTACGGGACTAGCATTTACTACCTTTGCATGAATTATTTCTAGAAGGTAGTAAGAGACTGGAAAGAAAGGTAGTTTCTGAGGAGGTGAGCTGAGTGGCTGGGGTCAAGGGTGGGAGGAATACCTGCTTTTCATTTTATGCCCTTTTGTACCTTTTGAATGTTTTATTTTCCCCAAGTGCATGCAGAACAGAGCCAATCGATCAATCAAACAAACAATCATGATTAAATAAACAATTACGCGAGCCAGGCATTTTGAAACTCCTTTTGTACCTGCTGTTCCCTCCAGCGGAGGCACCCTTTCCCGGCTTTCTTCATCTGGAAAACTCCTACGCAAGTTCCAACACTGAACTCAAATGCCCGGAGGGGCGGGGCACCTCCCCGAGGCAGTGACTCTGCATCCCCCACCCCGAGTGCCCGCGGGTGCCCCGCTCTGTGCTCTAGGAGGCGCCTATGCCTCCTGACTTCGGCTGGATCTCGTCAAAGGAGGAGCCACTGGGAGACTGAGGGACAGGATGAGGGGGAGCAGGGGCACTTGTGCCGCCCAAGCCTCCCCGTTTTCCCTTGATCTTGGCAGGGGCTGCGTTTCTCCACAGCCTCGCCGGCGCTCAGCCCCACTGCCGCAGAGCCAGCTGTGTCTGGCCGCAGTAGCACTGTTCCCCCTCTTGCCCCTTCGGGACTCGGGGTGATGACGGCTCTCCTCTGTTTCTAGCCCCTGGGTGCCTCTCCATTCCTCGAAGGGTCCCTCCACCAGCCTTTGCCCCTGTAAATACCCCCTCCATTAAATTCGCTTCAGTTAAGCCCCTGAAGTCAAGCTGGGGGGATTCTGCCCCTCGGGGACATTGGAGCAAGTCTGGGCACATTTTTAGTTGTCATGACTGGTGCAGGGGAGCCACTGGCATTTAGCGGGAGGGGCCAGGGATGCTGCTAAACATCCTACAGTGTGCAGGACGGCCCCCCCCAATCAGAGGGTCATTGGGTCCCAAGTGCCCATGGTGCTGAGGAGAAGCGACCCTGGCTTAGACCTTGGGGTGCCAGCTGCTCTCTGGCTGGACCCTGGCTGTGCATGGTCGGGGGGTTCTGGACGCCCACTGCCCACTCTGTGCTGTGGCGGGATCCACTCATCTACACACCCACTGGTGGCCTCCTCCCAACGTGCCGGGGGGAGACCCTGGCGAACTGGTCCCCCACCACACTGGGGTCCCTGTGTCATTCACCACATAGTCCCGGCAGTAGAAAGTAACAGATGTTTGCTGATTGAGCTAAACAAAAAAAAATTCCTTCAACAATGTCTCAAAACGAGCTGCAGATGGCAAGGGGCTGGACTCAGTGGCCGAACGGGACTCGGAGAACAGGAGCAGGCAGACGCACACAGAATGGATGGATGGTAGCCGCGGGGACGGGGGCGGGTGCGCAGGAGAGAAGGCACCTCATCTCCCGGATGGGCGTCAGGGTGGGGCCCACCAGCTGAGACTGTTATGAGAATAACATTACCGGGGGGCATTTTGGGTGTTACCTCCGACCTGGCTGGTGCAGAATAAGCAGCATCCGTCAGCTCTCGGGAGGAAGAGATGGAGCAGAGGCGTCAAGGTGGGGGCTGGGGAACAGCTGTGCCCCGAGCACGGGCTGCTTTGCATCCCTGGGCCTCGGTTTCCCAAACTGTGAAATGGGCATCAGGTAGGCAAGCTCGCCGCTTTGCAAAAAATTATAGCACGAGGCATGCCTTTGGGGTTCCACATGTGTTTCAAACATCACCTTCGAACTCAAATCTATAATTTAACTAAAACGAAAGGTCTGCTTGTTAAGTTACAGTGAAGCAGAACAGTCAGGAGGGCCTGCAGTGACCACCTCACCCTACTCTGCCCAGGACTTGTCCAGTTTTGGCAGTGAAATTCCTGAAAATCCCCAGTCTTGGCCAAACAGAGATGGCTGGTCTCCCTGGCAGGTCAGAGGATCCGCCTGGCCACATAATTTTTAGAAATGATACTTAACTAACATATGTTGAATGCACATTGGGTGCCAGGTGCTTTTCTAATGGCTTGGTGAGTATTCGCTCACTTACTCTGCATGAGAAGCCGGCGAGGCTCCCGAGTCACAGAGCCAGGTGCAAATCCAAATAAGTCATTCACTTAAACGAAAGTGTCCCCCGGGAGAGGACTGTCTCAGAAGCAACCTTCCCCATTTGTTTCTTCTGTGATGCTTTCATTTTCCCCTAGGGAGCACTTAAGACAGTTAGTAATTGCCTAGGGTTTTTTGTTTTGTTTTTCTTCTTGTTTTAGTTTATGGTCTACCTCCCCTTCATGAGGACAGGGACTTTGCCTGTCTTGTCTACCAGCTAGCACAGTCCTTGCACATAGTAGGTGCTCAATAAATATTTATTGACTAAGTGAAGAAAAGAAGGGAAGGAGGGAGGGAAGGACCCCTGGGACAATAATGGAGCGTTAGCCAGGCAAAGCTGGCGTTGGGACAGTCAGGCTTAGCACCAAGCAGAGCTGGAGGTGTGAGGACCTGAAGAAGGCCAGGCTGATGGGACTGGGCATAAGAGAGTCGGGTGTGAAGCAGACACGATTACGCCCATTGTACAGATGAGAATTCCGAGGTTCAGAGAGGGCAAGAGACTTGCCCAAGCCATCCAGCATTCCGGGGTCTGAGTTTAGAATCCAGGCCCTGATTCAAAATTATAGAGAACCTTACAGGTAGTGAACCCTATATATACTAATTTATGAGGTGGGTACTATTATTACTTCCTCATTTGACTGATGAAGAAACTGAGGCACAGAGAGGTTGAGTGACTTGCCCTAGGTCACACAGCTCAGAAGTAGCTGAGCAGTTCCCAGTTTCTATCTCCTGATTCTCCCACAGCCTCTGGGGTCACACAAAACCCCAGCCTGGACCACAAAGAGTCTGTGAGTCAAACCCTTACCCTCTGGAGGTTTGGGAGAAGTGAAAAAATAATCCCCTGAAACCCTCTGGGGCCTGGACTCCCCCAACTCCAAATCGAAAGAGCGCAAAGCCAGCCCTGTTTGCAAGGCTGCTGTGAGAAAAAGGTGATAAAAAGTCGTCATGGAACTGGTAAGTGATAGCAATAACTGTAGAGCCCCGGCAATCAGCCTGGTCTCAGCGATAGGGACTAATGATAGCGGGGATTTATGGCTCCATGGGCCCAGCCTTTCTGAGGCCAAGTTGATAGGAGCTGGGGTCACAAGTGGGGTCACAGGCAGAAAACTCCCAGCAGCCCCTTCCTGAAGTGAGGCCGAAGGCCCTTTCTACTAGCCTGGGCCTTGATTTCTGGGGTCTGCCCCATCCCCCACACCAGGCTGATGGGCTACCCTTAGCCATCCATCTGGTCGCCTTGGTCTTGTCTATAGCTGCTGGGGTTTCTAAAAACCTGTAAGCCATTATTAGCACTTTATAGTGACTTGGTTCATTCATTAATCCTCAGGGTGCCAGGGGAAGGCAGGGGGCAGAGGGCACCGTGATTCATGCCTCCTGTAGCCAGGGGACATTCGCTGGGGGACCACTCTGTGCCAGGGGCCCTGCAGGGAGGAAGGTGGTGACTGGACCCTGGCCCGGAACCACATGTGCCCTGGGACGGTGGGACAGCTGAGCTGGACCTGGGTCCCCACCTCCAAGGACCATGACCTCACCACCACAAGAAAGACTGGGAGTGGTTTGTCCCCACAAGTGTTCAGTCTTTAAAAAAGTCAAAAACCCACCTGTTTAATACAGAGAAGTACAAAAACAGTTCCAACCACAGAAATTTTATTCCCCTGAGTAATGGCAGTGGAGCTAAGTGGTCAGGAACACCGTATCCCGGGTCCCTGTACCAGCCTGCGACATTAAGAGCGTCTGTGCCCCTCTGCCTCAGCACCTCCAACCTGCAAAGTGTACCATTGGAGGCCCCTGCCACAGCGGCCATGAGGAGCACCGAGCGGGGTGCCGACCTGCAGAGCACTCAGAACGGCCTGGACCCAGAACCAGGGCTCGCCCAGTGCGCCCGGCGAATCCCTCTCGGACACACCCCCGTTCGGGTGCGCTGCGCCTGCTCGCGGTTTCAGAACCTGACAAATATACTCGACAGGACATTCTAGGCTTCTTTTTGTGTCTCCAAGCTTGCTTACCGATTTAGGGGCTGAACAGCTGACTCCTTCGGGAGCTTTAGATCTTCACTAGCGCCCCCTTGGGAGGCAGTCAGTGTTCTGCCCCAGCTGTTCCAGGCAGGTTCCCTAAGGCAAGCCTGTGTGGACAGCAGGTAACTTGCCCAGGGCCACCGAGCTGCGACCTGAACCTCTGACATCTGGACTCCACAGGCAGAGCTCAAGGTGGAAAAACAGGCACCGAGAAACCGAGGAGGGTTCGGAGTCAGGCGGACGTGGCCTTGAACGGCTGTTCTGCCAGTACCGGTGGTGATCCCTTGGGCCGGTCTCTTCGCCTCCCCGAGCGTAAGTTTTCTCCTCTGCAAAAGGGGGCTGCCCACCCCCACCAACAGTAAAAGAGTAGGTATATTGAGGTGCATTCATGAAATAGAATACAATGCAGCAACGAAAAAGAGCAAGTTACCGACAGCAACTACGTGGGTGAACCTCAGAATTATATCAGACGGAGCCTGGTACAAGAGACTGCTGGGGTAGCCAGATAAAAAATATAGAATGAATTTCTACACTTTATAAATATAGCAAAAATAATGAATTTTAAATAAACAATGAGTTTTTAAAGTATAAGCACATTCCATGAGAAATTTAACTGACTCCTGGATTTTTTATGTGCTAAGCCTGGTAATCCTAAATAGTATGTGTGTGTAATGACATTTGTACGATGTTCAAAAACAAGCACAATGAATACATGGTGATAGAAGTCAGGACAATGGTTGCCTTGGGTCAGGGTGGGGTGAGTGGAAAGGGTGTTTAAAAAGTTGTTTATGTTCAAAAACACAAATTCGTGGCTACAGACAACAGAATGGCGACCGCCAGAGGGGTGCGCAGGGCAGGGAGGGGAGGACCAAGATGGTAGAGGAAGTCAAATGCAAGGTGACGGAGGGCGACTAGAGCCCAGGTGGTGAGAATGTGACATTGTATTACAAAGCTGCACACCTGAAATTAAATCATGTTATTAACCAATGTTACCCCAATAAATTGAATATTAAAAAAATTTTAAAAGGCCCTGGCTGGTGTAGCTCAGTGGATTGAGCGCGGGCTTGCAAACCACATGATCGTGGTTCGATTCCCAGTCAGGGCACATGCCTGGGTTGCAGGCCAGTTCCCAGCAGGGGGCACACAAGAGGCAACCACACATTGATATTTCTCTCCCCTCTCTCCTTCCCTTTGCCTCTAAAGATAAATAAATAAAATCTTTAAAAAAAATTTTTTAAAAGTATGTATCTGGATCCAGGTGGGGTTACCTGTGCGTATACACTTGTAACAATTTGCCAGGCTGTACATTTAACAGTTTTACATTTTACAAGATTTGTGAATTGTGAGTCCTTACAAATTATATTTTAAAAATTCTAAAGAGCAATATACCTATCGATTAAAGTCTTTATAATAGCACTTCACTGACGGAGTATTTGGAAGCATAAAAGGAAATAAAGATTGTGAGTCTCTTAGCACATTTTAGGAGCTCTTAGTAAAAAACAATAAATGGAAGCCATTGTTAAATTAACAGCAACATTCCTATTATCACCCTCGTGAGATTTTCTCTATTGTCGGTGGATTGGAGCGCCCTCATGTGTCTATATTTTGTCACGGCACCTCAGTCACTGCAAAGAATACGTACTCTATTCAAGCTTGGAGTCTCAATCCTAAAGGACAAGGCTTTGCGTTTCTTTTGCTTTAGGACCGCAAAAGAAAGTACCGAGATTCACGTGACACCAATGCGTGCCAAGTCCAAGTCCAGCCCTGCCCACTAACCCCTGAAGTTCGTCAGAAGAGACCACACAGGTCTACCTCTCTGACTCACTGTCGAAGCACAGCCACAGACATTACCACGTTTTCCCGAGAACGCACATGGTAATATTTGAAAGTTGCACTGGGAGGGCTACAGAATGCCCTCAAATTAATAATAATCACGGCTGGCTTTTTCTGAGCGCTTCCTGTGTGCAGCACCCTGCTGAGACACACATGTCCACTTTTCTCCTTTAATCTTTCAAATGACTTTGTGAGGCGTATACTGTTTTGTAGCCTGCTTCCCCTCCTCCCACCCCAACAGTATGCTGTGGGCATCTTTCCATGTCAGTAAATATGGCTGAGGCGGTAAGTACCTGACTCAAAGGCTGAGAAACTTAAACAGTCAGCAGCCACTGCCCAGGTGAAGATCAGTAATAGTTAACATTTATTGAGTGCTTTATTACATACCCGGCCCTGTGCTAATTGTTTAACATGAACTGTCTCTTATTTGATCCTTAAGCAATCCGAGGTTGCTGCCATTACTATTCAGATGAGGAATCTGAAGCCCAGAGAGGCAATGGGACCATCCGAGGTCAGAAAGCTGGTGTGTCAGATTCTAAGGACGGTGTGTGTCGGGGAGGGCACAAGGGCAGGTCCCCAAGTGGAGAGAGGAGCCACTGACAAATCCTGAAAGTATGTCCTGGCTGGTGTATCTCAGTAGATTGAGTGCTAGCCTGTGAACTAAATGGTCACAGGTTCGATTCCCAGTCAGGGCACATGCCTGGGTTGCAGGCCAGTTCCCAGTGGGGGGCATGTGAGAAGCAACCACACAATGGTGTTTCTCTCCATCTCTTTCTCCCTCCCCTCTCTCTAAAAATAAATAAAATCTTTAAAAAATAATCCTGAAAGTGGGCAAGCGGGGGTTGTGGGGGGAGGCCAGGAAGGCTCCCCGGAGGCGGTGTCCTGTAGACTGACTTTATATCCCCAGCCATGAAAGGAGGCCTTTTAATAACTCGCCAGCTGCTGAGTGGTTTGACATCAGACACATACATGGGTTCAAATCCTAACTGTGCTAGAGTTTTTTTTTTAATGGCATTATTGAGATATAATCGACGCACAATAAACTACTACATAAATCGTGTAATTTGAGGACTTTTGACATATGTACGTACCCAGGAGCCCATCGCTACAATCAAGATGAGGGATGTTTCTTTCACCCCAAAACCCTCCTGGTGTCCCTCCTCCCCCTCACCTCTCCGTCACCCCCTCCTGTCCCCAGGAAAGGCAGCGGCAATCTCTACAGCTTAGTTTCTTTCACTGCAGGTTACTTTAGATTTTCTGGAATTTTATAGAAATGGAAATATGCAATTCATACTCTTTCTTTCACTGAGCATCATTATTTTGAAATTTACCTGTGTATCAATAGTTTGTTCCCGTTTGTCGCTAAGAGACAGACAGGGGTGGGCAAACGCAGGTTTCCAGTGGTAATACGAATCAATAATACCACAGTTAGTCAACGGTAACACAAGAATAGGTTCCGTTTTGCGTACTCACAACTGTAACCCTACTTTTGTCCACCGCTGTGTACATCCCAGTTTGCTTGGCCCGGTGTCCTGTGGGTGGACACTGGCGCCCAATCTCTGGCTTTTATAAAAAGGGCTGCGGAGAATACGCACACGTGTCTCTCAGGGGACAGCGCTCTCATTACTCTCAGGCAGCTACCTGGGAGTGTGATCGCCGAGCCATAAAAGTTTACGTTTAACGTTTTAAAAAGACTTTATTTATTTATTTTTAGAGAGAGGGGAAGGGAGGGAGAAGGAGACGAGGAGAAACATCAATCGTTTGCCTCTAGTAAGGTCCCCGACCAGGACGGACAGGACGGAACCTGCAGCCCAGGCAGGTGCCCTGACCGGGAATTGAACTGGCAACTTTCTGCTTTGTGAGATGACACCCAATCAGCTGAGCCACACCGGTCAGGATATGTTTAACTTTTTACAAAAGTGCTGCCAACTGTTTTTCAAAGTAGTTGTACCACCTGGCTTTCCCGCCAACGTCTGAGAATGCCCATTGCAGGGTGTCTTTAACTTCAGCCATTCTAGAGCGCTAGGTTGGTTTTTGTTGTTGTTTTTTTAACCTGCAGAGCCCATTGATGGTTCCTAGCCTTTCTGAGTCTCGGTGGGTCGGCAGGGGCCTGGGCAGAGAGGGTGAGAGGAGAGGAAGGGCATCACTTGGCCTGCACCATCCTCGCCGGCCTCCGGGGCCCTGGGCTCAGCACAGGTCTAAAGCTGCCCCTTTCTGTTGGGACGCTGTTAAGGACTCATGGAGATGGCCCTTGCTTCAGGCCCTTCTCACCCTTGACCTTGATGGATGCGCCCCTCCTCCTGGCCACCCCTTGCAATTTCTTCTTCAGCCTTTGGGAATCTGACATCCAACTCTAGCTTCCTGCTGCTGCCACCCTTCTGCCACTCTAGGAAACCCTATGGGACAGGGCCCAAGTCGACTCCTTGTAGCTGCTTTGTGCCCACACTGGTCCGTGGGAGATGCTCACGCAGCCTTGCCCTGGAGCGCCTGGGATGTGGGCCCCCTCAGCACACCCGCTGTCTGGCTCCTTCTCCAATGCAGCCAAGCACCACTCTCTCCCAGCCCCTGCATATCCCGGCCCATGTCACACCACCGGGCCCTCACTTCGGGGGCGTGTGTTAAACTCTCCAAATGGTCACCCCACTCGCAGGGGATCCCCCATTACCTCCACTCTGCCCTTCCAAGAAGAAGGCTACCAAAGGATCCCTTGTCCCCTTCTTCCCATCACAGGAGAGCTGTGGGTGAATGTAGAAGTAATAACACGAAAAGGGGTTGGGGCAAAAAAAATTCTTTTTATTGATTTTAGCGAAAGAGGAAGTGGAGGGAGGAAGGAAGAGAGAGAGAGAAACCCTGACTTGTTGTTCCACTTACTTATACACTCATTGGTTGACTTTTGTATGTGCCCCGACCAGGGATTGAACCTGCAACCTTGGTGTATCAGAACGATGCTCTAATCAACTGAGCTACCCAGTCAGGGCCTTGGGCAAATTTTAGTTGTGGCTTTTCATGGTGCTTTTGAAAAGTAATCACTGGTTGTCACAGCAGAACCTCTGAGCAACGTTGTGCAAGTCACATCCGCCTCCCCGGGGCCTCAGTTTGCTCTTACCTTCATGGAGGTGACCGGAGCACCCAGCCAGGTTGCCATGACACCTGGAATCTACAGAGCGTCGGCTGAGTCTGACGGCCTGGGAATCCACAATCACTGGCCTGACACGCCACGCGTGGGGCTGTTCACAAGTGATTTTTGCCTCTCGGGTCTCAGTTTCCTCATCTCTCACGTGAGAAACCCTACTCGGTAGCCTGTCTGTGAGGTCAGCTGGGCCCATGTATGTGCCCGGCCAGGTGCCCAGCATTTGCTAAGAGGTTGGTCCTGCTGGGCATTAACAGCACAATGGAGGGTGGGCTGAGTGGGCTCTTGGGCTGGTACTTGTGGGCCAGGGGGTGTGGCGTCTCCCCCTTTCCCCGACCCCTACCGTTCC